CTCCAGGATCCCCTCTTCCGCCCATTCGCCACAAGAGCCTTGACTACAGCAACGTGGGTTATTAGCAACATGCAGTCTAATCCCATGCGTACCAAATGGTGTAAATGGTTGTGTACATATCTATGGATGTACAGAGAAAAACTCCTCACAGCATAAACTAAAAAATATCAAGTGGTTCTCTAACATGTGATATATTCTTTTTATATTTTAGAAACTATTGAGAATTGGAAAAAATATTATTATTAATTTTATAATCAGAAAATAAAGCCACTTTTTAAAAAGAAGAAAGCAAGCTCTCAATGACATTCTACTGCAAACAGGGTAAAGTCCAAACTACCATTTAAGGCCCTTCACCCATCACCCCAGATTACTTTTCCAACATTGTATTTTTCTATATCCCTGGCACACACCCTCAACTTCAAACACACTGGATACTCTTTACCCAGAATTCAGCCTTCACAGTCCCACTTTCTTTTTTGTTGCCTAGTCTAGAGTGCAGTGGCACTATCTTGGCTTACTGCAAGCTCCGCCTCCTGGGTTCACACCATTCTCCTGCCTCAGCCTCCCAAGTAGCTAGGCCTACAGGCGACCGCCACCACGCCTGGCTAATTTTTTTGTATTTTTAGTAGAGACCGAGTTTCACCGTCTTAGCCAGAATGGTCTCAATCTCCTGACCTCATGATCCAACCACTTCGGCCTCCCAAAGTGATGGGATTACGGGCATGAGCCACTGCGCCCGGCCCACAATCCCACTTTCAAGCTTTCACCTATCCTGTTCTCATAGCCTGCCTCTTGGAGATGCTCCAGACCTCCCTCTTCCCCACCCTTCCCCACCCCTTCACCCCCAGCCCTCCACTTGCTCTGGTAAGTACCTGGAGCATTCATTTCATTTGGCTATGTCACATAATTAGTTGTATTTAATGTTTTTCTCTTCTCCACTAAGCAGTAAGCTCTTCAAAGGGAGGTTGTGTCTTCTTCCCAGAGTATCTGGCTTACAGCCTTGCACCCAAAGATATCCAATAGATATTTGCTGAAATAAATTATTGAGGAACGCAGAGCATGATACACCTGAGGCAGAAGGCTTTACAGGGGTGGGCCTTGAGGTGGGTTTAAAGAATGGGTAAGGTAGGCCAGGCACAGTGGCTCACGCCTATAATCCCAACATCTTGGGAGGCCAAGGTGGGTGGATCACATGAGGTCAGGAGTTTGATACCAGCCTGGTCAACATGGCGAAACTCCATCTCTACTAAAAATAAAAAATTAGCTGGGTGTGGTGGCACATGCCTGTAATCCCAGTTACTTGGGAGGCTGAGGCAGGAGAAGCGCTTGAACCTGGGAGGCGGAGGTTGCAGTGAGCCGAGATTGCGCCATTGCACTCCAGTTTGGGCAACAAAAGTGAAACTCCATCTCAAAAGAGAGAAAAGAAAAAGGGTGGGGGGGCAAGGCTAGATGGAGTGACTCACACCTGTAATCTTTGGAGGCTGAGGTGGAAGGCTCACTTGAGGCCAGGAGTTTGAGACAAACTTGGGCAAAATAAAAATTAAAAATTAGCTGGGTGTGATGGTGTTGGGCATGAAGGTGCGTGCCCTACTAATTCTACTCCTCGGAGGCTATCCTAAGGAATTACCCAGAAAGGTGCACAAAGTCTTGTATATCAACAGCATCATTTATAAGAATTAAAAACTAGAAACAATATGAACAATGAAGAATAAGAAAACAAAGTATAATACTACATTTATTTGATGCTATCATTAAAAGTTGTATGTTTTTGAAGACTAGCTATTGTCATTGGGGGGAATGCTCACAATATAAAGTGAAGGGGGCATGTTTAAATTGTTTGCATCTTGGGGATAGGGCTGAACTCAGAAATTTCCCCTGGGGACTGGATTGGGGAAAGGGGACCCTTCACATTTTAGTCTTCTCTTTTCTTTTTCAGTAATACTAATAGTAGTGACTATATTACTACTAATAATTCGAGTTATTACTGTAAGCCAAGCATTACGCTAAGTCTTTCGTGTTTATTTTCTCACTTAATCCTTTGAACCATCTGAGCAGGTAAGTACGATTTTCATCATTCCTTTACAGACAAGAAAGCTGAGGCACAGAGAAGTCAAGCCATTGCCCAAGGTAGAGCCAGAATTCAAGTGTGGAATGTTGACTCCAGAGTCTTTGTTTTCTTAGCTACTACAATATGCTGCTTCTGGTTATATATATTTGTAGTACTGCATTTATTTATTATTTATTTATGAGACAGGGTTTGCTCTTGTCACCCAGGCTGGAGTGCAGTAGTGCGATCTCAGCTCATTGCAACCTCCACCTCCTGGGTTCAAGTGATTCACCTGCCTCAGCCTCCGGAGTAGCTGGAATTACAGGCGTGTGCCAACACGACCAGCTAATTTTCGTATATTTAAGTAGAGACGGATTTCACCATGATGGCCAGGCTGGTCTCGAACTCCTGACCTCAGGTCATCCGCCCACCTCAGCCCACAAAAGTGCTGGGATTAGAGGTGTGAGCCATCATGCCCGGCCTGCATTTTTAATTAAGGAACTGATTCTACCTCTGCCAGGCAGTTCCCTTAACTAGAAACCTCTTCCCCGTCTACAGAACTCCCTGATCTCCTTCAAGTCTTTGCTTAAACGTCACTTTCACAATGAGTACTATCCTGACTGCCCAGACCAAAATTGCAACCTGCCTCTCATCCATTTTACCCCGCTGTGCTTTTTTCATAGCATTTATTTAGCATATCGTATAGTTTTCGAATTCACCATATGCTTCTGTTCTCCTCCAACATAAGAGCCCCACTAGGTCACAGGTGTTTAAATCTGTCTTGCTAACTGATGCATCTTAGCACACACACAAAAAAAGTCCTGGCACAAACTATGTGCTCAATACCTATCTGTGGAACAAATGAAGGTTTAAAAACACAGCATGACTCCGCATTGCTTTCTTATTTTAAAGCATAAATATACATGCACATATGGGAGAGAGGGAAAGGATATTTCAAAATGTTAATGGTGATTTCAGGTGATATTTTTTCCTTCTTTATATTTTCCTGTTATGTTTATGTTTCCTGTGGTTTTATACCCCAAATCCTACGTGAAAATGTATTATGTTACCATGAGAAAATTGCTTTTGAAAACGTCTCTCTAAACCTAGAGTAACGTGCATTGTCGCACAGAGTGAATTGGTTTTGCCGTAAATCGCATGAAGCCGTTTT